CACCCTCCCACGCATACACGCCCCCCGCCACCCCCCCATCACAGCGTGTTTACCTTCGCTTCCTTTCGCGGTTATTCCGCGGACCAGGATTCCTGGCGATCCTTTCCTGAGACAATACAACTGGACGTATCTCTGCGGAACGGAACTACGTGCATTTTGACGTGAGCCATGTTATGCATGTATTCTTATGGGTCTCAGGGCTCATGTATTAATGCACATAGTTTCGTTTGGCAGAGATACGTCCAATTTGTTGCATTTCTCTGCCGTGCTAAGGAAGAACGGCTTATGGACATTCGAGAGTTGCCAAATTTCCTACGGTAAAATGTATAATATGTTTGAGGAAAATTGCGAATATTTTTCCTTGAAATTTTAGACACTTCAGATCAAACTACAAACAAAATTATCTGAGAAATTGTCAGAAAAATATTCATAAGTTTACCAGGAAATTCGTGTTTTATCAAGGTAAATTGGGCAATGCCTGAGGGTTCATACGGTTTTTTTCCTTAGCTCGGCAGTTCTGACCTTAGGGCGTTTCACCATTTCCGCATGAGCCCGAGAAAGCATGGATTTACATGGAAAACGGGGCTCACGTGGCAACTCGTAGGGACCTAAATTTTCCGGGAATCTCTAAAATATTTTCCTTCTACTTTTTCACAGAATTTTATTCGAAATTTGATCTAAGCTATCTGAAATTTCCGGGGAAAAGTTATGATAGCTTTCCTCAAAATTACCTATTTTACCTCTAAAAATATGGCAACGTCCGATTTTCATGCCGCGTTTTTCATTACCACGGTAAAAAGTTTTTAATAGAGAAGGTACGGTCACTGAGCCTCATGGGTCCCAGACTCGGAAAATGCCGAAAATTTTGGTTTTACGGGTCGATAAGCCGAAGGTTCAGTTCACGGGACCGAATTTTTTCTCTCGTGCGATCCAACTTAATTTTATCTGTCAACCTGGCATATGTTCCGTTATTTGGTTTTTATTTCCCTGCGTAGCTTTTCACCATCGAAAACCCTCAATTATTAGAGCAAGTAGGGGAAATCAGAGGATTTATAGACACCTCTATGCTCAAAGCTTTTTAAACTTTCAGGGACTGGGACCAAAAAGAATTTGTTTCAGTAGACCCGTTAGTCAATTCTGCTAAATTTTTTCGCTACTACCGGGACTCGAACCTGGGACCTCTCGACCTGCGACCTCAACTTTTCCTGACCCAATCGCTAACCCCCCCCCCACCTTCCGGGTTCATTCGCCTATAGCCTCTGTCCTATCAGCTCTTTTTCTGCAAATGAAGGTTCCTAGCACTTCATTCTGAACTTCCATGAGAGCGCAAAAAAAGGAGAAGAAGAGACGGATGAGGATGAAGAAAACCAAGGAAAACTAGCCCTCTTTACAAGCTTGTGCTGGACGGTAATGGAGGCATTCTTCTCCTGAAATGGATCAGAGTCCAGGCATACCGATCGTGCCGTATTGCAGGATTCCTTACTGCGTTTTGGAATGAACCTTGCTGTGTCTATAAGTCAGGACGGTCTAAGGCTCAAGTAAAAAAGGCGATATGCCCTTTTAAAATTCCAGAGGCGAATTATTTAACCCTGATTAGTATTTATTCCTATGAACTCTGACGGATTCATCCGCGGTATCGGAATAAACTTGTTGTGCCCAAGTATTTGTGCGTTACGAGTCATGGGTGCGCATTTCACCGATTTTTTGTTTGTTTCCTTGTTTTTTTCTGCTGAACTGTTGAAATGAATGTTTCACAAATATTTTGACACAAAAAATCTCAGACATTTTAAACCACACCGGAGTTATAACCATTTGAAGCTTGCATGCAGTCCAAAACAAATTGCTTTATACGTCTGATATACTACCTCTGTGAGCATGTAGAAAAAGCTGGCTGCATGGGGATTACATTGCACGATCAAGGTTTAGGTATCATTTTGGGGAACATATTTGAATCAGTGAGAACGAAAACACACCAACTCGAAAAAATGAAAATAATTATAAGACACACTCAAAACTGCACAGTAGTTGAAGAAGTTCGTCTCAGAAAAAGATTTTTGGTGCTAAAAGACACGTACTTCAAGACACTTTAAAGGTTCAGGTTGGAGCAGATGGGTTAACTCCAATGACCTTTATGAAAATTAACTGTATCAAATGATAATAGAGCAGTCTCAAGTTACCGATTTGGTGTTTTTTTTAATCTCACAGATTCATTTTACCACTTCCTTGCTTTTCTTCATTTCCTAGCCCCTTTTTTTAAACACCATAAAAGCATGGTAAAAAAGGGTATGATAAATTGACAATTAAGTTTAAAAGTTTGATGCTACCTGGTTTTTAAACCGACATTATACTAAATGGTAGATATGTATCATTTGATGCTATTTATACCAGCTGCAAAATGAAATTATTCTCCTCGGGCGAAAATTAAAATGTGGCGCTTACACAAAGTTCACTTTGAAGCAACAGCACTCACTGTCCCATACAGTGTTGTCAAGTCTTAAGAGAATCTTAAATTGGCCAATATACAAAGCTAGGAACCTAGTGTCTCTATGTGTGCGTCCTCGTCAGGATTTCACGCAAAACGCGATAAATCCATTCAAAATCTTAAAATTGAACTTATAAAGTGGGAGATTGGCAATATTTGCTTTTTTTCGGGAGAGCAAATTGTAGGTCGTGGAGATTTTTCTACAAACACTCTCCATAATTTTGCTGAACTTTCCGTGAAAAAACATATGTATGTATATTATCGATTTGACGTAAAATCCAGATGAAGATTGAGAATCTCAGCAGTGGTGTAAAAGCTGTAAGAGTCGTTGCCGTTCCTTAAATCGCTATTTCACTTACAAGATCATTCATAGTTTACATTGTGATCGAGAGAATTTGAAGGAAAACCTCTTAACAGCATCGTAAAAAGGACAATTTTTGCCAACTTCGCATAAAATCTAGTAGCACAACTTTCGAAATGGGTCCTTGAAAGGAATTACAATGATTTACCTCAACGAAAAATACAAAATACGAAAAAAAATAAATTGAAACTTCTGTAAAGTTTGAGGTAAATCGGCATCTTCTTTAAGTTTGTCAAAATCATAGAATTTTTTCTTTATTACCTTCAACTTTCTGCAGTGGAAAAGCAATGTAATCCCTTGCAAAAATCCATTTCGAAAATAGTACAATTGAATTTTACTAGAGATGGGCAAACATTGATGCTACTTAGAAGGCATCCTCAAACCTCTCTCATTCAAAATGTGAATCATATCGATGACTACAGTGCGTAACCACGTATCTGCGATGTTTCAAAATGTCCACTTCCATTTTATTGAGGAGAAACAAGCCAACTTTATAGCTTGAAATCTTTACAAAATATTCTGCTGATGGAGGAGAAAAATCAAGGAAGTGTTCGATGAATTACGTTGACTAATTTTTGAAGGAAACCATAAAGTATGATAGGAAGCCAGGAACGTCGGAAACGGAGATACGCGGTTTCGCACTTCGGTCATCGATATGAGGCCTCCCAAGGAAAGGATCGAGTTATTTAAGAACGACGTATACGACGCTAAATGGTTACTCAAAAGAAATTCCGCGACTTTTACTCTGTCTAGTGGTCATTTGGCCTAGAAAAGTGTTCACAAGAACGTCATTGTAATTAAAACTGGCAGCCCAGTGACCGCGGTACAAGCTCATGATGAATAATGACGAGCAAAAGGTAAGCTGGAACGCTACCTTGGCTCGCAGACAAGCGATCGGTTCGATACATGGAGGATCAAAAAAATTCCGATACCTCGTTGGTTATATGTAGGGGTGATCGATAGATGTATCGATCAATCGAAAAACTATCTATTGGTTTTGTGAGAGTAGCTCAGATCTCTGTGCGTGTGTCGTGTCTAGCAACGATATCAGATCGACATCTCTGACGGCCGCTCTGCCGTGCTAAGGAAGAACGCCGTATGAGCCTTCAGGCGTTGCCAAGTTTCCTCCAATGAAAACCAAAAATACCGGGAAGATTGTGAATATTACTTTCTCAAATTTTCAGACAATTTTATACACAATTTAATCTAAAATATCTGAAAATTTCAAGGAAAAATATGCATAAATTTAGTAAATAATACAGGTTTTATCAAGGGAAATTTGGCAACTTCCAAATGTCCATACGGCGTTTTTCCTTAGCACGGCAGCGCTGGTGAGGCAACGGGCGGGTGAAGTGATCATTGCAGCAACTTTCGAAGCAGAGGCGAGGCGTCAATGATCGATTATCGATACTTCCCCATTTGCAGCTATTGTAAAGAGTCGACTATTAAGGTGTTCGTTGCTAAAACCCTGTTTATCGATACTTTTCTATAGGTTTTAATGGCAGGTCAATCAATACATCGCAGGCGCCTCGACAACTTCCGCGAGTCCAGCCGCAGGAAAGGAGCGAAATTCGATGGGAAAACAAGCGATCTGTTTCCCGTATATCGGAAACGGCTGCTGTATTTATGTTATTCGATGCGAACTAATATGGATGAATCCGAACTGAATTTTTACGATGCCATCCATCGCGTTGCAGATGTAATCGATGATGTTGCAAAGCAAGAAATCACTGAGAAATACCTGTATCCCCATATCCGGGGAAAGTTCAGTCAGCAATGTCCACTGAATATTCCATGCCTTAGAGTGTGGCAAGTGAGCTTATCTCAGAGTCATAATTTGATGATTTTAGTCAATTCAGGAAACAGTTCAAAGGTTTTTCCAAACACCAAGTTTCCACGTCCAACATCACCGGATTTATCATGTTGTTCATCGTGTATGGTGTCATCCACTGAGATGGTTCATATATACCGAGTTTTTTTCCATCTTAATTTCATCCGTGTTTTAATTTAAGCAACATTTATTAATGGAGGGTGACACACAG